CCGCGGCCCGCTGAGGGGGGGACGTTGATTGTTTATATTTTAGATTGTTTTGATTTAATAATTTTAATTTAATTGTATTTAAACATGCCTTAAAAAAATACAGTTACACCAAAAAATTTATATAAAGTGATTTAACATTTTAACTCACTGGTGTGTGGGAATCACCTGTCCCGATAAATCCATATTTCAAGTAGGACTCATGGTATTGTCTGTTAAAAGTTAAGTGCTTCTTTGATGTTGAAGGCCCTTCTTCTGTCTCTTCACTGGGCCTTTTCTTTTTCCCAAGGAAACTTTCTAACGACGTCTGTTTCGTACTCATTTTTTCTAATTTGTGGGTTAAATTTGAGCAAACACAATATACACGTACACCAAGCACTGTTAAACATGACAAAGTATAGGTGAAGAGAGAGAAGAGCGATACACACCTTCTCTTTACCAAAGCTACAACGCCACTGCATAAAACTTCAGTCTTTATTTCTGGATACTGGTCATTTTGAACTGCAGTTTTCACTGAGTGTAACATCATTATAAGTTTTTTTTAAATCATTTGCTTAGTTTATATTCAGTTTTGTAACTTGTTTACTTTGGTATCTGTGATTCATAAAACACTGTGTTTTTTTACACTATGTAAAAGCCTGTTTGGGTTTGTATTGGAATGTCTTAATTTCAAGCCTCTAAATATTTGTTTTCAAGTATTAACCCCTTCATGACTGAGGCCCTTTTTTCATTTTTTGCACCCATGTTATATTCCACATTTTAGGCCTGCAAATGACTTAAAACCCCCCAACATTATATATTTTCTGAATGCCAAGACCCTATAGAATAAAATGGTGGTAGTTGCAAATGTTTATGTTGCGCAATATTAGCGCAACTCCTTATTAAACCCCAACATTTAGTGAAAAATTTAATTTAATGCCCCAAAACACAACAAAATACCAATTTTTTAAATGACATATAAAAGATGAGGTTACAACAAGTAAAACGATACCCAACATGCATAGGTTACAAATTGCGTGCGTCCGTGAAACGGCGAAAAACTGCAGTAGCCCAAAAAGTTAATAGAAGATGCTTTAAAAGCCCCCACAGGTCATCAATTTAGAGATACCCCAAAATACTGGCCCTAGAATTATTGCTCTCACTCCGG